AATCACATGATTATCTCAAGTAGATGCAGAAAAGCCTTTAATAAAATTCAATATCCCTTCACGATCAAAGTCCTGAGGAAATAAAGAATAGTAGGAACATACTGCAACCAAGTAAAGGCTATGTATGATAAGACTATTGCCAACCACTGTGCTATATGGAGACAAAGTGAAAACACTTCCTCTGAAATCAGGAACAAGATTTCTACTTGTCTACTCTCTCCTCTTTTATTCAATTTAGTGCTTGAATTGTTAGAGCAGGAAGACAAAAAAAAAGAAATAAAATGGATAGAAACAGGAAATGAAGAAGACAAATTATCTCTATTTGCATATAATATGGTCCTATACTTAAATGACCCTAAAGACTCCACCAGAAAACTCTTACATCTGATAAACACTGTCAGCAAAGTAGTGGGATACAAAATCAACATACAAAAATAAGTATTTTTTCTACATATCAATAACAAACAGGCTGAGAAAGAAACCATGAAAACAATCTCATTCACAATACCCTAAAAAACAGCTAAATACCTAGGAATAAACCTAATAAAGGAGGTGAAAGAGCTCTTCAACAAAAATTATAAACACTGAAGAAATAAACTGAAGACACTGGATGATGTAAAGACCTCCTACATGCACAGATCAGCAGAATCAATATTGTAAAACTGGCTATCCTGCCAAAAGCAATTTATATAGTCAATGCAATTCCCACCAAAATCCCATTGTCATTTTCCACAGAAATAGGAAAAGTGCTCCTAAAATTCATATACAAACATAAAAGATCCCAAATAGCCAAAGCGATCATAAGCAAAAAGAACAATGCTCAAGGTGTCACAACACCACACTTCAGATTATACTATGGAGCCATAGTAGTAAAAACAGCATTGTACTGGCACAAAAACAGATGTGCAAACCAATGGAATAGAATGGATAATATAGAAATAATCTCATACAGCTACAGCCATCTGATTTTCGACAAAAATGCCACATACATTGGAGAAAAGACAGCTTCTTCAACAAATGGAGTTAAGAAAACTGAATATCCACAAAAAAGAATGAAACTAGATCCTATTTCTCACCTTGTATAAAAAATCAGTTAAAATGGCTCAAAGATCTAAATGTAAGACTTTAAATACTGAAACTACTAGAGTAAGACATATGAAATACCCTTTTTGAATACGACTCCAAATGCTCAGGAAATAAGAGCAAGAATTGACACATGAGACTTCATCAAATTAAAAAGCTCTGCACAGCAAAGGAAAAAAATTCCAGAAGCAAAACACAATCTACAGAATGAAAGAAAATCTTTGCCAGGTATTCATTAGATAAGGGACTGGTATTCAGAATGTATAAAGAGCTCTGAAAATTAAACAGTAAAAGAACAAAACATCCAATTAATAACACGGCAAAATTAATTGAACAGACAGTTCTCAACAGAAGTATGAATGGGCAATAAATACATGAAGAAATGTTCAACATTCTTGGGCATGAAAGAAATGCAAAGCAAAACCACAACTAGGATTCCATCTCAGCACAGTCAGAATGGCAATTACCAAGAAAAAAAAAAAAAGAATAAATGCTGGTGAGGATTCAGAGAAAAAGGAATCTTCATACACTCTTGGTGGGAATGTCAACTAGTATAACCACTATAGAAATCAGTATGGGGGTTCCTTAAATTACAAATAGAGCTACCACAAGATCCTGCTTACCACTCCTGGGCACATATCTGAAGGAATGTAATCAGCATACAATAGAGATACCTGCCCACACCCATGTTTATAGCAGTATTATTTATAATAGCAAAGTTATACAATCAGTCTTCATATCCAGGAATGAACAAATGGATAAAGAGAATGTGGTATATACACACAATGGTGTATTATTCAGCCATAAAGAAGAAAGGAAAATGGATGAAATTGGATATCAACATATTAAGGGAAATAAGGCAGACTGAAAAAGCAACTATCACATGTTTCTCTCCCATATGCAGAATCTAAACTTCAAATGACACTAGTGTAAAATAGGGGACTGTTTGAGGGTGGGAACCAGGACAAGTGAGAAGGGCAATAGGAGAGGGTGAAGGGTAAGTGAATATGATTAAAGTGCTTCAGACACATGTATGAAAACAGAATAATAAACCTATGAAAATTATTTAAAAAAGGAGAGAGGGAGGTAAGAAAAGTAAAAGGGGGTGAATTAGATCAAAGAACATTATATGCATATGGAACTATCACAATGAAATCCCCTTGTACAATTAATATACACTAATAAGACCTCTACTGCTGTGATCGCAGAGGTCCTTGATCCCAAAAGGCTCAAGAAAGGAATGAACAAGACAGGACATACGAAAGGACTCACTCACTCAGGAAGGGAATGACAAAACACATATCGAGAGGGCCTGAAGGTTGATGATCAACTGGCGAAATTTCCTTTTTCTCAGCCAACTTTATACAAAAGAGGAAGAGACTTAAACATCAAAAACACTCTGGACTAGTTACAACCTTTCTGTGTTTTCCACACTGCACTCCTACTGCCAGTGTCCTTGACTAAGTATAAACTTCTTTATAGTCAAGGAAAACCATTTAGTGTTCCTTCCCACCGTGATAGAGGCATGGTGCACCTGCAGATTCCAATTTTGTTGGAATGCTGCTAAGCCACAGCGACCTTGTCAGACTGTGGCTTTTGGTTCCCAACACTCTACAATGCAAACTACAAACCACTGAAGAGTCAGATTGAGGAATATTACAGAAGATGGAAAGATCTCCCATGCTCATGGATTGGCAGAATCAATATTGTAAAATGGCTATATTACCAAAAGTAATCTACACGTTCATTGCAATTCCCATCAAAATTCCAATGTCATTCATCACAGAGACTGAAAAATGAACCATAAGGTTCATTTGGAAGCACAAAAGACTGCAAATAGCCATGGCAATGCTGAGCAAAAAGAGCAACGCTGGAGGTATCACAATACCTGACTTTAAACTATACTGCTGAGTCAGAGCAATAAAAACAGCATGATACTGGCATAAAAACAGATATGAAGATCAGTGGAACAGGATAGAAGACCCAGATATGAATCCACCCAGCCACTCCCACCTGAATTTTGACAAAGGTGCCCAAAACATATGATGAAGAAAAAACAGCCTCTGCAACTGTTTTTGGAAAACTGGACATCTGCATGCAGAAAACTGAAAGTAGATTTATGTCTTTCACTCTTTCACCTTGTGCAAGTATCAACTCAAAGTGGACTAAGGACCTTAATATAAGACCTGAAACTTTGAGGCTAGTGCAGGAAAGAGCAGGAAATATACTGGAATTGATAGGCACAGTCAATGACTTCCTCAATAGAACTCAAATGACTCAGCAACTAAGAGAAAGGATTAATAAATGGGACTACATGAAATTAAAAAGCTTCTGTACAACAAAAGAAATGGTCACCAGATTAAAGATACAGCCCACAGAATGGGAGAAAAATCTTTCCCAGCTATATAGCTGACAAGGGATTAATAGCCAGAATATAGAGGGAGCTCAAAAAGCTAAACTCCCAAAAAATCAATGACCCAATGAGGAAATGGGCAAATGAACTGAACAGTGCTTTTTCAAAGGAAGAAGTCCAAATGCCCAAAAAACACATGAAGAAATGCTCAAAATCCCTGGTCACAAAAAAAAAAAAAAATGTAAATCAAAACCATGTTAAGATTCTACCTTACTCCTTTTAGAATGGCTACCATCAAGAACACAAACAACAACAAATGTTGGCAAGGATGTGGGGGGAAAAGGAATCCTCATATGCTGTTGGTGGGAATGTAAATTAGTACAAGCACTATGGAAAACACTATGGAGGCTCCTCGAAAACTAAAAATAGAGCTGTCATCTGATCCAGCAACTCCACTCCTAGGAATATACCCAAAGGAATGTAATTTAGATTACAATAAAGGTATCTGCATACCCATGTTTACTGCAGCATTATTCATAAGAGCTAAGCTATGGAAACAGCCAAGATGCCCCACAACTGATGAATAGATTTAAAAATGTGTTATTTATATACAATGGACTTTTATTCAGCCACAAAGAAGAATAAAATCTTGTCATTTGCAGGTCAATGAATGCAACTGGAAAACATCATCTTGAGTGAAGTTAGCAAGGTTCAGAAAGCCAAAGGCTGCATGTTTTCTCTCATATGTGGAATATAGACCTAATACAAATAAAAACAATGTGTGTTAAAGGGAGGTCACATACAAGAGACGGAGGGGAAAAGAAGGAAGTTAAGAAGGTGAATATAGTTGATGCACTTCCTATAAAGGAATGAATATAGAATTTTTAAACCTGTTGAAATCACCGTAAGAAGGCGACTAAGGTAGAAAGGAGAAAAATAGAGGGGTGAACCATTTTGAATTATAATACATATATACATGGAAAGGTCACAAGGAAACTCCTTGTATAGCTATCTTAAGCAACAAAAAATTTTTTTTTCTTTTACAAAATTGGAGAACAGGAGGGCAGAACAGGTACTGTCTCGGGGGCTGGTATCAATGAGACAGGGGAGGATGTGGGGAGAGGGTGTAAGAGGGTGAATATAGTACAAAAATTGTGTATACACATATGTAAATGGAAATATGAGACCATCTGAAATTATTCCAGGAATGGGGGGAGGAGGAATACAGGAGAATGACAGAGGGAGTGAATTCAACTATAATATATTGTTAGGACTTTTGTAAATGTCACAATGTACCCCCAGTACAACAATAATAAAAAAAAGAAAACAGAAAATGTATACAAAGTTGTTTTTGGGAAGACACATGAAAAACTATTCTTGAATTTTAAAGAAAGCATCAAAGGGATATCAATATAACTATGATATAACTGTATCATTTGAACAATTTGATATAACTATATCACTTAAACAATTTAAGCCACTCTTATGACTGTTACTTTCATGATTTGCATTTGATGCAAAAACACTGTTTACAAATTCATTAGTTACATTTTCAAATACACACCTGCCAACGGAGCACACTGCTTTACATGTGTAATAAGGTTGTCTGCTGGAGTTCTCAAGGTCATAAAGTACAATCACACCATCTGAACCACCTGATAACATGCTGATAATAAAAAATTCACATTAATCACTTTATGAAGTCCACTTATTTATGATGATTATATATCTGAAAATTGATCTGTAAACACCTAAATGTAGTAAGATCATAAATAGTTATTTCTCACCAACAGATTTCAATAAAATTTCTTATCTCAATATTTATAGAAGACTGAATTTGAAAAATTCAACTTGTGATCATTTAAAGTTTGCCTTCATGATTCCCAAAGAAAAGATGGTAGAAATAAGATGGCAAAAGGACATTTCTTACTTAAGTAAAACATTAGTTTTTTATATGTCTTAAATGTGCTAAATGAAAATGGAATTAGACTAACCAATTATGCTGACACTAGCTATCTGACGCTTGGCAAGTTACACCAGCCCTCTAAACCTTTCAACATTTGTTAAAAAAAAAAAAAATGGGGGAGGGCATTTTCACCTAAATCACAAAGTTGATGTGATGATCAAAATGCACAGTTCCTTTGATTGTAGCTTCCTTCCTTCTTTCATGAATGAATTTATTCAACCTTAACTGAGCACCTAAAATATAGAAAGTATTCTGCTAATAAACTGTAACAAGAGAGGCATGGTTCTGGTTCTCCCAGAGTTTTATAGTCTAGCAAGAAAGACACGTAGTGTACATAATCAACCAAATAGCTGTAATCAGGGTCCTTGTGACAATAACTTACTTTATTCTAGTTTGGGGATTCAAGGACAGTTTCTTTGATTATAAAATTTAAACTGAAGGAGGAATTGGAGTTACCCAGACAGTGCGTCAAATAATACAGGCTCATTCTAGAGAATGAAAGAAGGAATGAGTTGCTTGAGAAGCACAGAAGGAGAGCGGTGAGAGGAGAGGTGGAGGAGCCAGATCACTCAGAACCTTATTTTTGGGAGTAAAAGAGAGTGCTAGAAAATTATATACTTTTTTGAAACAATTATTTCTCAAAGTGGGCTATTATACTGGTAGAAGCTATTATTCAAAAACTTTATTATTCAAAAAATTATTCAAAAACTTTGTAAAATTTCTAAGAAATGAAAGTAATATATAAGCATTTATAGTAAAACAAAAACTATACTAATTGAACTTAATTTACAAAAATAACATTGTAATATATTATTCTTGGTATTTTATCTTCTTTTATCAGTTTCTCACCTACACCTAAGTTTGTACTACTATATTGTTTTAATTTTGTGCTTTTAATATGGTTTATTGCTTTTTTTCCATAAAATTATCTGAAATCATCTTTGAACTTAAAGTTGTTGCCACCTTTGGCTTTCCTAAGTCATATTTTTAGTTTAGAAAATAATCATAGGTGGTGAGTAACATGGTAAGTTCTCAGCAGATTCTACAAAATGGAGGATATTGTTGATTATTCTTTTACATATTGAAATATGCAAATATTTAAGATTAAATATTTTCAGTGTTTGTCTTTTTGCCTCCATTCAGAATACTATTTTTTGTATTTGCTTTTATGAGATAAAACTCTTGCTCAAACAAGTTCTCTATTTTATGTTTCTTTTGAACGAAGTTTAAATATTGTAAAATCTTAGGCATTCTGAATTTTATTCCATTATTATACAAGATATAAATTTAGTCAATTAGAAATAAGAGCATCATCAAAAGATTCTTCAAAAAGGTTCAAACAATTAGACCTCTCCCCAAATCACAATGCCTCCCCACTTTCTCAAGGCAACTCATTGTTGTGATATTTGTAGAAATCACTGCCAACTTCCAAGAGTATATCCATGAGTAAAACTAGCTTTGCTTTTTAAAGAGAAATTTAATTTCTTAAACCTTCAATATAGAGTCCCATTCTGCTTTCTTCCTGCCTTCCCACTCCACTTTTCTCCTTTGTAGCAATTTATTTGTTGCAAAACTAGATCAGTCTTCCTGCAACTTCCAGGCTGGTGATCCTACCTCTGCTTCCTGAGTGTGGGGATTACAGTTGTAAACCACCACGCCCAGCTATAGCCTGGACTTTGATGACTGAATTCATATGCTCTAATTCAAAATAATCCTGGTAACTGATTTCTTCTTCTTCTTTTTTTTTTTTTTGGCGGCAGGGGTGGGTGGGTGGGTGGATTACTGAGGGTTGAACTCAGGACTTCACACTTGCAAGGCAGGTACTCTAATGCTTGAGTCATGCCTCCAACTCTTCTTGCTTTGATTGTTTTGGGGATAGGATCTTGCTTTTGCCCAAGCCAGCCTAGAATGTAATCCTTTTATATTTCCACCATCATTGGGAAGATAGGCATATGCCATAATGCCCAACTTTTTTCTGTTGAGATGGAGTCTCCAGAACTCTCCTCCCCCTATTCCAAATTGGCCTTGACACACAATCCTCCCAATGTCAGCCTCCCAAGTAGCTAGGATTACAGGTATGAGACACAGGTGCCCGGCTTGTCATTGATTTCTGCTGTGATTAGCAGCCACTCCAGTACCTAGACCACCAATTTATATATTTAAAGTAATACTTGCCAAATCTACTGGGCACCACCAATCCTTATGTTGATATCCCTCTATTCAGTCTGGTTTTCTAATGCCATCTCTGGTAGATTATTAAAGAAGGGCTAATGAGAAGAATACTCTGAATTCTTGTATGTTAGTGACAATTTGTCTGCCCTATTGGACTTAAAATCTGTTTGGTTAAATATAAAATCCTTGATTCCTTGAATAGCTTAGATTTTTAAAAAGTTTGTTTTTTGGACGTAAAACTCAAAGTCAAAGTCTGGTGATAATAAGACTTTCCCCTATTTAAAAGGTCTGAAAAATAGTAAAATAGTTTGGTTGAATTATAGTTTTAATACTTATTCTGCTTCCTTGCTTGGGTATTCTTCTCTGGGAATTCCTATCATCTATATGCGGGGTCTTCTTTGCATATATTCTATACATCTAAGTACCTTTTAAATGTTTCCTGTCTTCTTTTTGAATTTTAACTTTTTCTGTCTTCTATTTCTAGTATATTAACTCATATTTATTTGCTTGTCTTCCTTATGTTTTAGTCTTCATTTATGAACATTTTTTCTTCTATTTCTAATTTTTTCTTGAGTTTGATCATGTTGTTCCTGAATTTTTTTTTCTATATCTAGTTTCTGTAATTCTTTTATAGACTATATCTTTTAAAATGACTTTTGGCTAGTTTTGAAATATTAGGGCAACAGTCTCATCTGCCTGATGGGCATGTATCTATCTGGTATGATTTCATTGTCTGTAGTGGCATTACTTTACTTCTTTGTCTCTTTGCTCTGAGGATAATTTTTTTATGGACTTTGATCTTAATTCAATTTGCTCATTTTTATGCAAAATTAATTTTCCTACACTTTTTAGAATGGATTTCTAGGTTAAGAATAATGTTTAAATTTTATATCTTAAGAAAATCCTCTTCCTTAATTTTTTTTTGCTTTTTGGTAAGAGTTTCAAAATATGACAGCTTGCTTTTAGAGATTTCCTGGTTCTGTCCACCTGACAAATTTTTATTTGTACCAACTCTTTGTTTCTATTGCCCCTGCATTGCTAAATTTGAATTCTATTACAAGTAACTTCTCTTCAGTATAGGGTTCTGTTCTGTAAGGGAGCTTTGACTGGTTCACTCTTTGGAGAGATTACAGTGGCTAGACTGTTTTAGTGCTCCTAGTCTTACTTTGGACCCCCTGAACTTATCTATAATTGGAGTATGCCAGGCTCTTCCAGTTTCAGCTGCTGTAATCAAATTGGCTTGCTAAGCTTCCAACCAACTTGCTGGTTATTTTGAATTCATTAGGTATAAGATATCCCATTGCTTTTTACTGACTCCCCCCACCCACTGCATAAATGTTGATGCTACACAGATCTTGTAGTTATCAGTGGTTTATTCCCACTTAATTCATATTTTGGGGTTTGTGGGGATACTTCATGACCTGATTTTACTATATTGTACGCTGGTTTTGATTTTGTAATTTTTAAAGCAATACTGACATTGTTATCTTCTTAGTGTGGCCCCCAAACTGAGGTTTTTAGTAATGCATCACTGAATAGGTTGATTAAAAGATTTTCATCTAAGTTGCAACAAAATATAATTAAATATAGAGCAATGCTATGCAATGTAATGTGTCTCCATGAAACAACCATGGCTTTCTCTTTTAGTTCCTTTAAACTGTGTGCTCAGTGATGCAGTAGATTTATATTCTGGTACAAGTTCCTTATCTTGTTGTGAACCAGTTATCAACAGTTCTTGACTTAGCAGCATGTACTGATTCATAGACCTCTTTAAGAAAAATTCAATACCAACTTGCAGAACAATTACACTGATATAAAAGTAGTTCTTCCAAGAAGAACTAATGACTTTTGGCTAGTTTTGAAATATTAGGGCAACAGTTTTAAAACAGTTCTAAAACCTGACTGATTATGGGAAGCAAAGACAGATGACAAACTAATGCCATTTAAACAAATATTCAACACCAGCTTCATTTAAACATCTTTGTGGTTCAGTCACTCAAATGGCACATATGGAGAAATATTTGTAAATTTTAAAAATTAAGCTTTTTATTTTGATTGATAAAATATTACACAGTTGAGAGTTATAATGGTACCATAACGAATTCCCAAAACATTTCTGATTCATACTTAAAACTTGAGATACTGGGGGTTTTTTTGTTTTTAAATTTTTCCCACGACGCTAGAAATGCTTCATCTGTACTTGAAGTATCTCATGGCACTAACATTATTTGACTGTTAGATAAATATTCTGCTAACAGAGCAACCACATTAAGAAATATAGCTTTACGTTTTACTATAGAAAACTCTGAATTAAATATGAATGAAATATAGCAGAATTTAGAAAATATAAAAGAAAATTTGAACAGAAGAGTGATATACAAATGTACCTTCTGCAGCTAAACCTGTTAAATGCAACTTTTGGATAGTTTTCTTAAAATATCACCTAATTTTAGAAGCAAATGCTTCTTTACCAGATTTGTATATTCTGGTTTCTATTCTTATATTCAGTGATACCACTACAGCACTCTTGGTGAATGGTAAATATTAGCAGATATTTTGAACAAATTACATATACAGTGATTTTCTTAAGGAAAAGAATAAAAATTTGGAATTAAACAGACACTTTCATCTTTGCTACTGAAAGGGTTTAATGCAAAATATGTCTTAGCAACAATGAAATAAATAGTTATAGCTTCCCCCGTACAATAAAGGGGAAATTAACCACTACTGCAAGTCCTCAAACTTTTCTATACATGCTCTCTGAAAATTGCCTACAGTTCTCAAACATATTTCACATATATATATGTGTATATATATATCTCCTATAGTTTCCCAGATTTCCTACTCATTCTGCCAACTGGTACCCTACTGGCTTCATATACTTCACAGGTCACTCAAGCAATCACTATGCCAAATGGCTGCCTGGAGTAATAACAGAGAATGTTTTTTCCATCAGCACCCACGACCAAAAGAAATCAGCTATCCCTTGCTCCTCATGTCTGCATATATTTTATAAGTGAATATCCCACAGCTGCCTTTGAACAGGAAGTGTTATGTGGAGCTGGAAGTTAGAAGAAAGAGAAGAATTTTATGGCTGGTCATCTTTAAATTTAACAATGTGCTAAAGTGAGAATTCTGTTCCCTGAATGTGTTTTTCATAAACTATTAGGTGAGACCATTCCAGAAGCTGAAAAAATGGAAGTGGTTAAACCTATTCTTACTGTAATTTAAGTAAAAATATGTCATTATAAAATAAAAATTCTAGGGCAAATGCTAAACAAACCATAAAATAGCAAAAACTGTTTTCTTTATTTTTATATACTGCCTAATTATAGACCATATAAAGGGCTTTGAACTTGTTATCAGTAGGGGAATATATTCAGATTTGCTTTTTTAAAGCACTTCAGCTATTGTGTGGTGGATTAGAAGTACATGTGAGTTTTTGATTATACATATTATCTCAATTAATCCTCAAAGTAAATGTGTTAGGTAAGTATTATTGTTCCCATTGCATAGCCAAGGCAGCTAAGACCTTGCAAGGTTAGGTAAATTGTTCAAGGTTACAAAGCTGGTAAGTGATAAAGCTAGGAGAAACTCAAATAAAGTCCTATTTGCTTCAAATTTAGTTCTCCAAAAATATACTTTTGCTTTTGATATTTGTCTTCCCATTGGAATCCTTGAATGTACCACCCACGTTTTTAAAAAGCACCTAAAGATACAACCCAGCATTTAAAAGCTTTCTGCATTCAAAAATAAGTTCAATGTTTATTGATTTAATGATGAATATATTTGTGCTAAAGTAGTTTGGAAATGTCTACCTAGCAACATTTTGTAAACTTGATGTTATGTATTTATTTGAAATTAATAATGCCAGTCTAACAAATGCTAAAATTTAGTTTTTATTTATTTTTATGAAATTTCTTCTAATTAAGCTAAAAAAAAGCAAGAATTCATTGTATCTCACTTAGAAAGAAAAGTAATAAGTATAATAAACTTACTATCTCCCTTCAATAGGTTCAACGTCAAGGGTGTTAACTCCACTACTATGGATTCTTTCAACATCTCTGTCTTTGTTTAACTCCAATGACAATATCCTTTAAAAGTTAAAAGGGAGAAAAAGAGAGATAAAACTTAACAATAAGCAAGTAATTTAACATAAACCTTATTTTCCCAAGGTTATACATAGTGAACATACACACACACACACACACACAATGCTTATCATACTTTTAAAGGTATTTATATTTTTAAAGGTTTTCCATAAACTTAAAAATCTCAACAGTACTACCAATTACATGTAAAAATTTTCCCCTGAAGCATTACCTTAAATTTTATTTAAAGATTATTTTATTAAGTTTTAAAAAGATATTTAGAGACAAAAATTTCATGAAAAAAATCCTAACTTAAACTTAACTGAGGACACCTAGTGGATAAAAGCTTAAATGACAGGACTTTAAAAAACTCCCTTAAATATATCTTAAAAGCAGGTAGAAATACAAAATATGTTTAATGCAACTGTTAAGCATATCAATCATCCCTAAGTGGAGCATGTTTTGATCTAATCCTGAGTAGTATATAAAATATTTTGAAAACTAAGCACAACTCAGGTTGCTGACTGACCACATACCCAGGACAGATCTGAAAAGACCTTGAAAACTGAACTGATGTTGAAAACACAGCCCACACATGTGGACACTTGCAGCGAAGCCTAATCTTTTGAATTGCCTACTAAAACAAAACATACCATTCTTGATAGACTGAAACAAGATCTCATGTTTCCTAACAGTGTATTCAAAATGTCCAGCATACAACCAAAATTATTCTGCATAAAGAACCAAGAAAATTTCAACTTTCATGGGAAAAAAAATAGAAGCCAAATCTGAGCTATTACGGGCTTTGGAATTATGTGATCAAGACTTCAAGGCAGCCATGTAATATGCTTAAGTGAGAGATTGTGAACACACTTAAAACAAAGGTTACAACACATTGTCTCAGCAAACAAACAGAACTAAATATGAACCAAAGGGAAATTTTAGAACTTGTCAATATAAAATTGTTTTAACTGAATGGACTCAATAGTAAACTGGAGCTGATAGAGGAGAGTAAGCTTGAAGATGTATCAATTGAAATGACACAAGCTAATAACAGGGGAAAAGATTGCTTCCTAGTTGTAGTAGGAAGCTTGTAAAAGGGCTTCTGATGGTCTCTCATTCCTGGTGTCCATGACCTCAGCTAATTCCCTCTTCTTGAGTGTGAGCTAGACCTAGTGATTCACTACTAATGACTAGAATATGACAACAATCATGAGATGTCACTTCTGAGCTTAGGTTACAAAGATTTTGGCTTTCACCTTGCTCTCTTAGTTGTGTGTGTTGATGAAAGCCAGTTGTCATGCTGTGATCTAACCTACAGGGAGACATATGGCAAGGTGGGGGGGGCGGGGGGCACCTCCATACAAAAGCCAGTGAGAACTGAATCCTGTCTACAACCACTTAAGAGTGTTTTGAAGCAGATCTTTCCCGAGTCATCTCTTGAGGTGACTACAGCCCTATGCAATATCTTTTCTCTCTCTCTCTCTCTCTCTCTCTCTCTCTCTCTCTCTCTCTCTCTCTCTCTTCAGTTCTGGGTACCAAACTCAAGGCTTTGCACATGCTAGGCAAGTGCTCTACCACTGAGTTACATCCTTAGCCTTTTGTTTTTTGAGACAGGGTCTCACTATACGTCTACAACCCAGCCTCAACTCTCTTCCTGCCTCTGCTTCCTGAGTGCTGGGATCACAAGTACCACTATACCCAACTCCATTCATTATCTTAATTGTGGTCTTGTGAGAGATACTGAAGCAGAAAGGAACCAGTTAAGACACTTCTTGATTTTTGATATCTTGAACCTGTGAGACAATAAATCTTTCAGTTGTTTAAACTACTAATTATTAACTTTGTTACTCAGCTAATGATAAATAATGCATGGTCAAGTTCTTTCCTTTGGGATATTAGACAAATCATACCCATCAGTTTGTCAACAAGCAAACTGTACTCCTTGTTTTTCTTCCTACCAATTTAAATTTCTTGAAAAAGCTATTCATGTTAGCAGTCCTCATTTCCTTTTCTGTTATTCTTCAACTCACTGAAATCTTTTTATTGCCATCATTTCTTTGAAACTGCTCTTCCCAAGGTCATTAGTGATTACTGTGTTGGTTAAATGCAACATACCACTTTTAATTCCTCATATTAATTCAACATATGCCTATTTACATAACACTTATTATAGATCTACTATGTGCCAAACCTGTTTTGGGCCCAGCGTACAGTTCCCTTTTCCTCTAAGGGGTTAATAAGACAATATAGTAGTAAGAATATATATAGCACAACTTTGGTAGTAATAATACCAAAAAAGCAAAGCAGATAATGGGATAGAGAACTACTAAGAGCATAGGAAGGGTGCGAGGCAGCATCTGCCCAATTTGATGTCTCTCTCCTGAACTCCCTCAGCATCCATGACACTTCATCTCCCTGGTTTTCCTTCTACCTGCTGGTTACTTACCGTCAGTTCCTCTGCAGTCCCTTCTGTCTGTTCTTAAATGTTGATGTTTCTCAGGGTATTACCATTGAAGTGCTTTTCTTCTTACTCTTACTGATAGTGTCTGATGATCTTATCTGCTACTCATGATTTCAGGTATCATCTCACATTAAAGAAAACTAAATTTCCCAAAGCATGGAATTCATATATATAACTATGCTCTCCACTCTCTAAGTAAATATCTTTACAGGCTCTTCAAAAACAGTATGGACAAATTAAAGTAAAATTTGCTTTTCTTTCGGAAACTCTTAACTCAAAGTATAACGCCAATATTCAACCTATACAAGGCACATGTGTGGGAATCAGGACTGCCTCTTCCCTTTGCATCATTCACTTATCCAATCAATTTCTCAGAATGTTCCTATTTCTCGGATATTTCCCAAATCTCTTCATTCCCTTCATCCCATCTACCACCTCCCTACCCCAGGCTTCCATCAACTCTCTCCTGGAAAACTGCAACTAACTTGCCTCCCACTCTTGCTCTCAACTTCAATCCATTCTCTAAGCCGATGGCAAAATACAACAGTAGTGACCTTATTCCCATCTTCATACTTGAACCAAAGCACACATGGCTCTACATCTAGCTTCTGACTACTTCTTCACCTCCATCTTTTGTCAATGGTCCCCTCCGACACAAACTCTCCGATTCTAACTGGCTGGCTAGAGAAAAAGGTAGGTTTTCCTTACCTCCGGGTGGACTCCGCTCTGCGAAAGCGGAGAGGATCCTCCAAACCCGCTTGTCGAGAGGACAAAAAGCTCAGCATCGCCTTTGCTCATACCAGCTCGAGCACTGGATGCCACCATGACAGATGTTGGAGACTGGGGGCTGTAACAGCAGAGTCTCCTATTGGCCAAGCACTGACCAATGGGCAATCTGACCAATGGGCAATCTGACCAATGGTGATCGCTGTTACTAGGAGGGCGCGGGGAGGGGGCGGGCCAGTGGGCGGGGTCTCCTTGAGCCACAGACCCGCGGAGGCTGGAGCTGGAATTGTAAGGCCAGCATGGGTTGGTCTCAGAGTTTGTTCCGCACCTGGTGGAGAGCGCTGTCAAAGGAGGTAAAGGAGCTTGTGGGTACAGACCACCTCGGAAACAAATACTACTATATTCCGGAGTACAAGAACTGGAGAGGTGAGGTGAGAGCGTGGGCAGCCCCTGCCCGATCAGTACGTGAGGAAAAAGTGACAGCCTGGTGCTACTCTTTAGGGTGTCCCCGGAAGGGAAATCCCAGTTCGTCCTCCCTCCGGTTCCCTTCACTCTGGGGTGGCTCTGGCCGCTTTCCTTGGGCGACTCTTCAACTCCGGGTGTTCGCGGTCCTCACCCCATCACGACTCGCACTCTCTTACCTCAGCCTGGTCCTTGCTATCCGCGACAGGGACGAGGGCTCGGAGATGGGTCAGGGGCGCTTGGCGGCGTGGGCAAGTGGCTTTCGTGCGCCCATGCCTGGCTTGCACCAGGGCTGATGGTGTACGTAGTTATCTCGGGCGCCTCGGCCTCGCTCTTCCTCAGGTTTACCTTTCAGTGGCTCTTTGGCCCGGGCGCTGTCCCCATGCGACTCTCGGTTCACAACCAAAACCTAGTTACTCAGGAGGCAGAGATCAGGAGGATCGCAGTTCGAAGCCAGCCCGGTCAAATAGTTCCTGCGACCCTATCTCGAAATAAACCCATCACAAAAAATGGTTGGCAGTGTGGTGAGAGAGCCTGCCTAGCAAGAGTGAGGCCCTGAGTTCAAACGTCAGTGCCGCCAAAAAACGATAATTAAGAAAAAGAAATTTGACTCTAATCGTGGCGTTTCTGAACAGGATTCGTGCCAAGTAGCGGAGCGGGTTGTTTGGGGCGTTGAAAGAGGTTCCAGTACATCAGACCACATCTTGCCGCAGCCTTCATAACCTCTCCTACGTTGTTCCATCACCACAGTGCACAAGATCTCAGGCTTTGGGCCATCGCTCTGGAGGTGGAGATTTGGAGGATGGTGGTTTGAAGCCGCCTGGGGAAAAACACAAGATCCTATTTGAAAAATAACTAAGGCAGGAAAAAAAAAAAAAAAGCAGTGTATTCTGTGCCCTAATAAAGTTGAAAACTCTTTAGGGAAAAAAGCCTGAGATAAGAAAATAAGTTACAGAAAATGGCTAAGCAAATTTAAGTGAGTAATTATATAATACAGTTACTATGTGTAGGAAATGAATGAAACACAATTTTGGATTCAAATCCAACTCTGTTCTTCACCTCAAAGCCTGAGGTTTTGGTTTTGTTGGTTTCAGTTTTTTTCTTTTCTGTTGTAGTACTGGGGGTTAAACTAAAGACCTTGCGCTTGCTAGGCAGTCGTTGTTCTACCACTTGAGTCACATAGCCAACCCTTTTTTGCTTTAGTATTTTTTAATAGGGTCTCGCATTTATGCCAAGGCTGGCCTGGACTGTGATCCTCCTAGTAACTGGAGTGACAGGTGTGTGACACCATACCCAGCTTTTATTGGTTGAGATGGGGTCTCATGAACTTTTTTTTGCTGAGGCTGGCTTGAAAGCATGGTCCTCCCAATCTCCCCTTGTTGAATAGCCACAGTGTCCAGCTGTATGTCTCCCTTAAGAAACTGCCAAGTTCATGGTACCATTTTACATTCCTGCCAGCAATGTATGACAGTTTCAGGTGTTCCACTTTCTCATTGACATTTGGTATGGTCACTGTTTTAGTCATTCTAATTGGTATGTAGTGCTATCTCAGTTTTTTTTTTAATATTGGCATATATTAAACTCTGTATGGTAAGGGATTTCATCATGCTCAATATTTTTATTTAGTGTTCATTTTATTGTTAGTAAGTTGGCTTTTTAAATTTTATTTTCAAATTAAAATACAGTAAAATTGACTTTCAGTTAGTGTACATTTAACATTTTAACTCAGGTAAAAGATTCATGTAACCACATCCCAATCAGAATACAGAGCATTTTTATCGCCCTCAATAACTCTCATGCTAAACCTTTGTAGTGGTACACTCTTTCCATTCTTAACCATGGCAACTGCTAACTTCCTCTCTCTCCTTGTAATCTCATTTCATGTTGTGGTTTGAGATGCAGAACACATCATATCAAATGAACCTTTTTGAAACTGGCTTTTTCCCTTCAGCATAATGTCTTTGAGATTCATTGTATGTATCAGTAGTTTATTCCTTTTCATTGTTGACTACTATTCTGTGTTATTTATACCATAGTTTGTACATTTACCTATTGAAGGACATTTGGAGTCCTTCCAGTTTTTGGTGCTTATGAATGGAGCTGCAGAAAACTTTTATTTCACATGACTATGTGCCCAGGTGTGCAAGTGCTGGATCACTGGCCATGTAAAATGTGAATAACAATACTTACCTAGCCTTCACAAGATATTTTGCTACTCAAGCAAAACAGACAGAACAGAAGTGATATAAGCAGTACTAAGAGTGAAATTTAATATCAGAATCTATTTGATCATGTATCCTACACACTACTATACTCACTACTCCCCGCAGCCTTTGTAGAATTGGACAGTCTGTGTAGATAATTATGTCAATTGTTGATATAAACACTTTTATTTTTTCCTTTCCAATTTGTTGCCTTTTATTTCCTTCATGGTTGCACTGAATCAGACTCCCAGTGTAATACTGAATACAATTGGTGAGAGTAAATATTTTGTCTTGTATCCTATCTTAGGAGAAAAAGTGGGTTTTTTTTTATTGTTAGTATAATTGTTATTAATCAGTTGGCTGGGGTCCTTTTGTTCTACCTGGTTAGGAATCATAGTAGGTAAGAAGAAGCTCTTCCAGTGTTGACAATCCTAGGCCCTTGGGTGCCCAAGGCCTATGGGCTGGACTGGCAGACACAGATGATAGCTACAAACCTTGAGAGCTAAAAACCTGTTGCTCTAGAAGCTGGACACTTATAGCTCTAGGCACTTAAGTTGGAGAATTATTACCCTGTGCTGTAACCATCAGTAACCCTGGGAATTGGCAGCTATTCTAATCCTTGACTTTCAGCACCAGTACGTGGTAGCAGCAGACATCAGCAAGTAGCAGCAGGTGATATCTTCTAGTGTTACACCTCTTGTACAGCCTGTGAGGCTGGGACCCTCCACTCTACAGTGACAAATTTACAGCTCTTGACTTAGGGTGGGGATCCTCAATCCTTAACAATGGTTATTGTTGCATCTCTCACGCCCAGGGTGTCTGAGACCCTTGTTCCCTAAGGCTTGGCAGTTCTCTGCAACTCTTTCAGCAACAGGCCCTGTAGTTTCTCATCTTCAGCTCTTCATTGCCCTCATTGTCTCTGTCATCTCTGTTCCCTATTATTTCTGCCCAAACCTTGCTGGAACTCTTCTCACCTGTCTGACCTTTGTTGCTACTGCTGCTGTAGCTGCTGGTCCATTACTGCTTCCTCCATCTTTGTGTTACTCACACACTCCACTGATGATAATGATCAAAAGTAGGCAAGAAAAGACTACTCCAGAATAGCCTTTTATTGGCCTA